GTGAGGATGGAGGTGAGGATGGAGGTGACGGTGGGGATGGAGGTAACGGTGGGGATAGAAGTGACAGTGAGGATGGAGGTGAGGATGGAGGTGACAGTGAGGATGGAAGTAACGGTGGGGATGGAGGTAACGGTGGGGATGGAGGTGACAATGAGGATGGAGGTGACGGTGGGGATGGAGGTGAGGATGGAGGTGATGGTGGGGATGGAGGTGACGGTGGGGATGGAGGTGATGTGAACCTGGAGGACAGGCTTTCAATCTCTGCTTCTACAGCCTCTGGGGTACTTTCAGAGGGGGAGGGAGAAGGAAGTTAGGGGAACAGCTTACAAACAGATTGATGAGAGGACTCAGAGAATCTGAAGAGAGAACCCAGCCTAAGGATGCAATGGTGGGAGCTCAGGCTAGAGGTGAGCAGTGGTTAGAACCGAGATGGGGCGGGCGGGGGAGGGGGAGCCAGGCAAGGAAGCAGAAACAAAGAGCTCCCCACACCTACCGGTTATGTACTTGGGGATCTCCTGGGACGTGCCCTCGGGACCCGCTTTCCAGCCTCCCTTCTTCTTAAACATGATTTTGGAGGAAGATTGCTCATTCCCGTCAGACTCAGGGAGCAAGTGGGGGCTCATCTTGTTCTGCCACTGCTGTGAGGTTCCAGAATGAAGTTCTAGGATGTTTTCAAAAATAAAAGAAATATGTTACAAGAGGTAGGATTACCATAGAGAATTAACCTGTTAACCCTACAACCATCATATAATTTTTATTATTTGCCCATACTCGTGTGTGTGTGTGTGTGTGTGTGTGTGTGTTGGTGTGGGTGTGTGCACGCGTTCATGCATGAGCACAGGATCCAAGGACTGAACTCGGGTCTCCAGGCTAACCCACCAAGCACTTGTACACTCGCAGGCCCCACTATCTTTTCTTCTAAGAAGAATCTTGGGTAGGAAGGTGACTTTCACAAGAACAAGCCCAAAGTCACAAAGTGAGTAGGCAGCACAACAGGAACTCACATTAGTGTGACACAATGGCAGACACAGCCCATGATCATGTCAGGGTGACAACAGTAATCACACTGGTGTGCCAGGCCAACAGAAGCAAGGAAATTTTCTCCTTTGAGATTTCCAACGTAACATGAATTATTAATCAAAGCCCTATAATTGCTATGGTATAAACATCTGCAGACAGGAGAGGTCAGGGAGACCTGCACAGGGTTCCTGGTTATTTCACTGGAATGTGAGTCATTAGGTCTCTATAACCTCAAAACACATTAGAAGATTTGTTACTGTGAGATTTAAATGAGGTAATATTTGGGAAGGCTGTACCACACAGCAAAGTTGCAGAAGACCCACTTTTAGATCAAATCTAGAGCTTAAGAATTTAAATCTAGGGGCCAGAGGGATGGCTCCAAGGTTAAGAGCACTGACTGCTCTTCCAGAGGACAGGGCTCAATTCCCAGCAACCACATGGTGGCTCACAGCCATCTGTAATGAGATCTAGTGCCCTTTTCTGACGTGCAGAGAGTCATGCAGACAGAACACTATATATAATAAATAAATCTTTAAAAGAGAGAGAAAGAATTTAAATCTCATGTTCAACCAATCAGGCGTAAAGCACCCTGCTCCTTAAACAACCTCTCCAAACTGGCTTTCTCTACTGCTGTCCAATGGACACCTCCACCCTACCATTGCACAAGGGTCTGTGGTTATCACATTAGTTAAATGGTGATATGCTGACTATATTTCTCTTAGGAAATACAGAAGTATAACTTAAATCAAACATATCAGCTCTAAAATATGTATAATCATACTATGGCAACATGTCTATCTTAAAAAGTCAAGTGAACCCTCAGTGAACAGCAAACCTCCACTCCAACAAAAGTATCTGTCCTCCCTTCTTCCTCCCCCTTTCTCTTTCCTTCCCGTCATGTCTCTCTGTCTGTCTGTCTCTCTCTCACATACACACACATATGTAATGAGTGGAAGAGAGCTTAATCTTATACACATTCTAATTTTATGTATCATTATCACATGGACTCAAACATGGCACACAAATGAAGGTCAGAGGACAACTTTCAAAAGTCAGTTCTCTCCTTCCACCATGGGTTCAGGAAACGGTATCCAGGTGGTCAGGAGTAGGTGGCCTGGGCATCTCCCACTGAGCACTTGGCCCACTGAGCACCTGACCCACGGTCAAATAATTTTAAAGCCTAGAAACAATTCATACTTGTGGATTCTATTGCTTTTATTTTGCAAAAAAAAAAGAGAATGAAATTCAAGTGTTAAGTGACACACGCGGGGTGACCCCAAAGCTGAGAGTCAAACCCCAGGCAGAGCTGGAGGTCCTTGCACTACACTGTACTTCTCCACCCTCTGTCGATGGGAACCAACACTTGGGGCAACCGAAGTTCCTCTGGCCTCGACACACCCAGGGATGATGGCTCAGCTCTGTGTTAGCATGGGGTTATAGGTGAACTTTAACAAGAAGACATACTTGCAAGATCTAATAACAGAGTTTTCTGTATCTCTCCTTAAATCAATTTAAATTGTTTACCTCTGAGATGAAGGCTAGCAAACAAAACTGGCAAAAGCAATTTAACTCAAAATAAAGTAGAAAGAACACTGTGTGCATCTTACCTTGTTTTTGAGATTGAAAAGGTCTCCCCGCTCCAAAATGGTGCTTGCCACCTCTTTCAGCCCTAAAGCCTGAGGCTAAAGTCACATTAGTGGGCTGGTTCCTCATTTTCTTAGCATGTTTTCTTTCTTTTGCATTCGACATTTCTGGAAAGAAAGCAATATACTTAATTGACGGAGAGAAAACTCTTATTTTGAAAATAATGAATTGCCAGACACGGTTGTTCACATCAGCATTTGGGAGGCAGAGGCAGGATGCTCAAGAGTTATCCCTTAGCTACACAGCACGAGACTAGCCTGCGCTCCCTGAGACCCTATTTCAAAACACAACAAAAGGATTTAATTTTAAAGAGAGCCAGCAAGACGGCTCAGCAGGTAAAGGGACTTGCTGACGAACCTGATGGCCTCCATTCAATCCCCGGGACCTACACAATGCAAAGAGAGAGTCTACTCCTTAAAGCTATCCTCTGACAACTACATGGCCACTGTGACATACCCCTAGGCCCCCACACAAATAAATACTAAAGGTAAAAACAATAAATTTAATAAATGTTTATGTAGCTCAAAATTTGATGACACCAAAACATTACCATATTCATCCATAGCAGGTATTCTAAAAAAGTCATGAATGGGTATCATTACCCAAAACTCATCTCAACAGAACACACATAGAGCAGAGGCCCTGGATTCCTCTCTACTCTCCACAGACAAAGAAAAACAGAGGCACAATGCTCAGTACTGCAGTGATGGCATGCCAATGACAGCATCCACGCTCTACTGTGGAATAAAGGACACCCGGAATCCTTTAACTGAGGTGATGGAATTTAGAGACAGCATTTGTGTTCCAACCCCTGCTTGGCCACTTACTGTCTCCCTAAGCCTTAGCTTCTCTCTGTAAAACAAGAGACGAGCACCCACTCTCACGGTTTCTGTAAGTACTGGATAAGAATGCAGAGGGCAGAGTGGTGTGGGATTTGGCTTCTGTGTGTGTAATAGCTACACTGAAGCTAGGCTTTTCCAACCCCAGTCACCAGTATTCTTAAAAAATTTCTTTGTTGCCAGGCAGTGGTGGTGCACCCTTTTAATCCCAGCACTTAGGAGGCAGAGGCAGGTGGATCTCTGTGACTTGGAGGCCCGTCTAGTCTACAGAGAGAGTTCCAGGACAACTATGGCTGTTACACAGAGAAACCCTGTCTTAAAACCTGCTCCCCCTGGGGAAAAAAAATTGTTGTTGAGGGGGTAGATGTGAGACAGGGTCTCTCTGTAACCTTGGCTACTAGCCTCATACCTACAAAGATCTGCTTGCCTTTGCTTCCTAAGTGCCAGGATTAAAGACGTGCACCACAAAAAAGAAAGAGAGAGAGAAGAAAAAATAAACAGGCACATCTACTTCAGAAAGTGCAAATTGGCTTTTATCTTTAATAAATAAATAAATTCAATAAATCTTTAATAAATGGTAAATTTACACCAAATACACGAAAGAATTGCTTTAAAATAAATTTCTTTATGATATATTACCGGTAACTGATTTGTACATCTAGTTCATATACCGGGGTCGGGAGTGGGAAAACGTTCAAGCCGTGAGCTAGAGGAAGATGACGCCTTTGACACCGGACCCGAGTCGTTGGTCGCGATCTTGCAGAGAAAGGAGGCAGGGGGATGACGAAAGGCAGACGCACCTCTGCTTGGTTCCCCCGAATGACCCACTCCGCCCCTTTAGGGAACCAGAATGGGAAGCTAGCGCATTCTCAGCGTGGGTTCTGCCTGGCAGGACAAGAACGAGCATAAGCTCGAGGGAGCGCAGCATCCAGGACTTCGGACTGGAAGAAGGCCCGCCCGGGCAGCATGGACCTCGGCATGAGAAAGATGCCCTAAGTCGACCCCGCCAATGTGGGCGGGCGGCCACACACGCGAACCCCGCAAGCTGACGAACCCCGCTAGGCACCAGCGCCTCACCACCAACCTGCCAGACTCTCTGAGGTTTCCGTGGATCCAAAAGCTTCCACCGCATCGGCTGAGTGAGCGAGCTGAGGACGCATGCGCCAGCCGGCGGCTTCCTCCACGTGTCCCGGAGTCGCGCGCGAACTACACTTCCCATCATGCCCTGCGAATCCACCCGGGGGCGGTACCTGAGGCAAAATCCCTGGTGCCTAGGGTTGTCTGGTCAGAGGCGTGAGAAGAGTTGTTGTAGAGTCTTCTTCTGGAGGGTCTTCGTGAGAGGATTAGCATGTCGTCCGTAATCAAAAAAGTGATCAGCACCGCAAAAGCCCCGGCGGCCATCGGTGCCTACAGGTAATGATTCCCATGGTAGCACAAGGACCGGGTGTGCACGGGTCGCCCATTTGGAACTGTGGCCGCTGGAGGGCTCAGAACCGAACCCCTTATAACACGCGAGGAAAATGAGTCCAGAACCGACCCCTTATAACACGCGAGGAAAATGAGTCCAGAAGGGGATATTGCGCCCAGATCCCCTCAGGGTATAGGGGGAGGCTTAGTGTGCCCAGAAGCTTGCCCTCCAGGGACTTTGGCCCCATCTGGAGCTGCCTGACTCCGGAGCCAAACTTGCCAAAACTCGCTTTCTCTGGTTAGAAGTGGTATCACCCCCCCCCACCCCCCCCCCCCCCCGCCCCTTGGCTGTTGCGTTTGTGGTTTCTGGTTTTGATTTTTGTAACAACTTTGTTGAGAAATATAACAAACTAGCCATAGAATTCTCATTCCTGTAATGGGTACAATTCAGTGGCTTTTACTATGCGAAGAAGTTGTCCAGCCATCACCGCTTTCTACTCTCGAAACTTTGTAATCTATCCTGAAATAAGCTTTCGTTCCGCATGACCTCTTATTTACTTCCCATCGCTATAGGGTTTACCTGTTAAAGATGTGTCCTCATAAAATTATTCTACACTATGTGGTCCTCTGTGGATGTAGCTCAGACTAACCTGGAACCTGCTGATCTGTTTCAGTGTTCTTAGCTCTGAGATGGGGAGCACACCTCTTAAAACCTGGGGAACAGCTTGAGACCTTATTTTCTCAAGATGCCTCAGCTTTAAAAGATCCCTGGATCGTATCCTATGTGTTCTTGCAAACTTTCTCCTCGTTAACTTCTTTCTAAGTCTTCACTAAAGTATGTCTAGAGCCAATTTTCCTTTTGAAAGAGTAGTTTCTAATGTAGTGTCTCTTCACTGTGAATCAGAGCTGCAGATTTCCTTTCTACTGCTGCAACATTTGAAAAGTGGAAGATGTGTAGTGGGTGCCAAGTTCTTAACTGATACAAAAATGTGTAAGAAATGATCCAGTGTGAAAGGCCTTCGCCTATATAACAAAAAGGAAGCGTTTGTGGGTGCTACGTGTCAGGCACCTTTTCTTCTTTGAGTTGTCTCAAGGTCAAGCTAGATGACTAGCTCAAGGTCATAGGATCTGTAAGTGACAGCTTGATTTGAACTCAAACCCTAGCTCCCTGAATACCACACTGTCAAGAGAAATAGCATTCAGGTGTGGCAGAACAGTCATTAAATGGGGTTGGAAATGAAACTTGATGGTGTGAGAGACCAAATGAAAACTGATTCTCTTATTTGGAGCAGAGAAAGAAAAAAAGATTTGGAAAACTCCTTGTAAAAGGTCGTCAGGTTAAATTTTAAAGGTTAAACTTCTTGTTTCTGGCAGTGTCGTGAAGTTTGACTCTTTAAAGTTGAATTGTTGAGGATTTGCATTCCTACCAGAGGAACTAGCTGAAGTGAGGGCACAGAGATAGAAGACTACAGGATGTACAGTTTGGGGGAAATAGTTTTGTAATTGGCATGCTTTTTTTTTTTCTCCCAAACTATGTACCGGGTGTTTTATAACTTCATATACATTTTCTTTGAAATGACTCACTTTCACTTAAATCAATTTTAAAAGGGAACTTTATTGAAATACTTGGAATAGGAAACAGTGCAACAGAAAGTAACTATTTAAAAAAACTCAAATAAAAAGTGTTAAGATCACCCCCTGAGTTGCAAAATTCTATTTACATACTGCAGTTGGCTCAAAGCTTTGAGCCTGCTCTTTTTGTTAAAAGTGTTTCTGGCTGGGCCTGGAGAGATGGCTCAGCAGTTAAGAGCATTGACTGTTCTTCCAGACGACCCAGGTTCAGTTCCCACATGGCAGCCCACAGCTGTCTGTAACTTCAGTTCCAGAGGACATGACACCCTCACACAGACATACAGGCAGGCAAAATACTAATGCACATAAAATAAAAGTAAATTATCTTTTTTAAAAAAAAGCGTTTCTGGCTGGAGCTGGAGAGATGACTCGGCAGTTAAGAGCTCTTCCAGGGACCTATGTTTGGTTCCCAGCACCCACATGGGTCTGTTCACAACCATCTGTAACTCCAGCTCCAGGGGATCCAACACTCTGTTTTAGCCTTCATGGGTATGCACACAGATGGTGCACATACACAGATGCACAGCACACATGCACATAAATAATAATAACAATTTTCCATGTGTTCCTGGCTGAGGGTAGATATAGCTCAGTGAAAAGCATGCTGAACATGTGTGACTCCCCATGCTATTTTTTTAAAGGGATAGTTCTTAAACTTGTTTTCTGAAAATAGTCTTTTTAATCGTTAATACAATAAGAAGGGTCAGAGCCACAATTGCTACTTCTACTGATGCTTTCTTAGCCCTAACAGTGTTCCATGTGCATAATTAATATTACAGGCTCCATTTTTAAATGTAAGAGCTGACATACAATAAGTTGAATAATTTGCCAAGGTCACCCCCTAAGTGGTGTAATACAATTTGAAAGCAGTGTAATGAACTCTGGGGCAGATTCTGAACAATTTCATTTGTTGTCCCCAGCTTAGCAGAAATGAAAGACAACAACAAAAATTCCCTTAATATGATTCACTGTCTATGGCTGACCTTCTGGGAAAAACACTGAAAAGTTGGCATTAAGAGTTAGACTTTGGCCAAGTGGTGGTAGCGCATGCCTTTAATCCCCGCACTCTGGAGGCAGAGGCAGGCGGATCTCTGTGAGTTCGAGGCCAGCCTGGTCTACAGAGAGAGTTCCAGGACAGCCAGGGCTACACAGAGAAATCATGTCTCAAAACAAAGAGTTGGATTCTGTCAGGGAGAACAGAGTTGGACTTTGGATTTAAATTCTTGACTTGACTTCTTTTTACTTGTGTAGCCTTGCAGAGAGACTTTGTTTTAGTTGCTTCTTTATCTCCTAAATGAACATGATAGTAACCCTAGTTCTTAAGCTTAAATAAGGAAGCGATCAGTCCAAACAAATTTGTCCTGAAGCCTAGTAACCCGGGTGTAGGCCTCCCTCTTTCTGTTTAGAACTGCTCTACATGGAGACCAGAGAGTCTGATGACCTTCCTGTGATGACCACAGCAGGTGGGAGGCAGGGACAGAGAATCCCTAGAGCCAGCTGATTAGATAGACTAGTCAAATCACAAATTCCGGGTTCAACTGAGCGACCCTGTCTCACTGTAATATATAAGATGAAGAGAGGTTGAAAAAGACTCCTGATGTCAACATCAGGCCTTCACGGACACGTATGCACCAAACTCAAGAACATGTATACACACACACACACACACACACACTCCAAACATACATAGAGGGAGACAAGAAAACATAGTAAAATATTTCTGATTGACTTGGAACTGGTGAGGTCACTTTTTTGTCAAGCTGCGTGCAACACACACACACACACACACACACACACACACCATATATACATACAAAAGAGAGAGACAAGAAAACATAGTATAACATACACACACACACACACACCCCACATATACATACAAGAGAGAGACAAGAAAACATAGTATATTTCTAATTGACTTGGAACAGGTGAGGTCACTGCTTTGTCAAGTTGCGTGAAGGGAAGAGACTCAACAAGAGTGTGCCAGTTTGGGGAGAGGGGAGACGTCATGGTGTCTGGACTTCCCACCCTGCATTCTGATCAAAGGGAATAAGACATGCTAGAGGATCATTTGGAAATACGAGCTTTTGTGCATGCAGTTTGTGGTGCGTACACTGTTGAAATTCTAGGTCCTCTGTAGAGAGAATTCTAATGTGCTGATCTTTTCAGTCTGCAGCATTGGGATGGATGGACTGTTGTCACTGATTAGCTAGCCAGCTCAGCACATTTGAGGATGCCAAGGACAGAGTCTGGAGGGATTGCGACATCCGTGTGTGCCGCTCCATTTTGTTAGCACTGTCGTAATGTGGCACAGGTTATGACTGGGAGCTTAATTGAAATGTTTTTGAGAGTTTTACCACCCTTGGTTTGGGGGTTGGTTTGGTGTAGGTATAGGTGTAATTTTTTTTTTTTAAGACAATCTCACTCTGTCCCAGCCAGCCTAGAACTCACCACGCATACCAGGCTAGCCTCACACATGGTGATCCTCCTGAGCACAGGAATTCTAGGTTTGAACCATCATACCTAGTGTATTTCTGGCCAGGAAGTAAAATAAAATTCTTAATGTCTGGAATCTGCACAGGTGAGATGGTTCAGCAGGGAAAAGCATGCAATGACTTTGGTCCTGGGAGCTACATGGTACAGGGAGAAAAACTGACTCCTCCTCCAGTGTCCACCATGGTGCGCGCGCGCACACACACACACACACACACACACACACACACACACACACAAAATAAAATGTATTTCAAAAAAATGGAGAGCAGGAGAGATGACTCAGTAGTTAAGAGCATTTCCTGCCTCTGCACAACACCCAAGTTTAGTTCCCTGTACCCTCATCGGGTAACTCCAGGGGATCTGATGCCCTCTTCTGGCCTCTGGGCACCCACACACAATGTGGCGTACACTCACACAAACACACATAAGTACATAAGTAAAAATAAGGTCTATTTGTAAAAATTGTTTATTTTATTGTGTCGTGTGTATGAAGGTTTTGTTTGCGTGTGTGTGTGTACATGTGCTGCGTACATGAAGAGGCCAGAGGAGAGTGCCAGATCCCCTAGGACTGGAGCTGCAGACATCTGTGAACTACCCTGTGGATGCCTGGAATCGAACCTGGGTCCTCTGAAGGAGCAGCTAGTGCTCTTAACAATTCAACCAACTCTCCAGCCCCCAAATAAAATCTTTGAAAAATAAAATTTACAAGACAACTTTAGAACCTAACAGCTGGAGGAGTAGGATTCGTAGGCCCCAAAAGTATCAAGTAGCCAGTTAGTTTGGGTTTTTGTTTTTGGTTTTTGTTGTTGTTTTTTGTTTTTGTGAACAAACCTCTTTAAGCTGGGCGGTGGTGGTGCATGCCTTTAATCCCAGCACTCAGGATGCAGAGGCAGGCAGATCTATGTGAGTTTGAGGCCAGCCTGTTCTTCAAACTGAGTTCCAGGACCCTGTCTCGAAAAACCAAAATAAATAAATAAACCTTTGAGAGGTGATTCATATAACTCAAATAGTTTCAGCTTTGTTCTTCTGAATAAATAGATTTCTTTTTGCTATCATAAAGCTTTTGTTTATTGATAATGTATTTGAGTTTAAACTCTCTTAGGTGTTGGGAGAACTGAAGATATTTTTGTGAAGGGCCTAGTGTGGGTGGCCTAATTCTACAAGGGTCAGTTAATAGTTAATTAGTTAACTAATGTACTGTTCAACCTGAGAAAACTCACACGTTAACAAACTCAGTAGTTATCTGTCTGAAGATAGAGGTGGAAGAAAGCCAAGAGTCCAGAAGAGCCGTAGGCTCCAGTACTTCAAGGTCCTGCAGAGAAGACGGGTTTGACAGCCGGGACTGGAGGTGCTGTGTGCTTAGAGGATACAGCAGCATCAGCAAGCACAGCATGCGTGCTGTGTGCAGAGAATCACTGTATACAGCTGCAGTGTGGTTCTCTGCCCTCAGAAGTTTACAGTCTGGGACATTTAACATTCCTTAAAGCCAAGCATAACGGCACACACCTTTAATCCTAGCACTCGGGAGGCAGAGGCAGGAGGATCACCATAAATTCAAGCCAGCGTAGACTACACAGCGGGTTTCAGGTCAACCAGGACTACATGATGAAGCCCTCTCTCAAAAGCAAAAGCACCCCCCCCCCCGACAAAAGTACTATTTTGAACTGGGCAGTGTTGGCACTCACCTTTAATCCCAGCACTTGGTAGGCAGAGACAAGCAGCTCTCTGTGAGTTCAAGGACAGCCAAGGCTTCAAAGAAACCCTTTCTCAAAAAAAAAAGTTTTCAAAAAAAAATATTATTTTGAGGAGACCTCTATGATCTAGTGGAAACAGAGAGGTGGAGGGTGGGGTTGTCCTAGTGTATGAAACTACAATGGAAGAGAAGGTGATTAAAATATATCTTTATAATGCAATATGCTGTAGCTGTTAAAAATTAATGAAAAAAAATGCTAGGTGATAATGGTGCACACCTTTAATCCCAGTGGGAGACAGAGGCAGGCAGATCTCTGTGAGTTCGAGGCCAACCTGGTCTACAGCTAGGACAGTTAGGACTGTTACACAGAGAAACCCTGTCTTGAAAAGTCAATAATAATAATAATAATAATAATAATCAATGAAAAATATACATACAGAAGTTCACAGTAAGCTCTGTGAGGAATGGCTTGCTCTCAAAATGCATCTACAGCCATACAACAAGCAATAACTAACCTTTCCTCCTCTGGACACCTTTTCTTAAGGGCTCCTACCAGTTTGTCTTTGCTAGAATTCAAACCATGGATAGTCATCCGCTGAATCCAGCAGTGGTTTGTTTTGTCTATTGGAATGCTGTTCCCAAACAGTCATGTAAAGATTTGGATGTGTTCTCATTCACATTTACATAGCTGCCTGAGGGATGGGATGACACGGGGTAGCGTGTTGAGTATGTGTTGAACGTTTAAGAACTGGCCCAGTCTATTTCCAGTGTTCCTATTGCCGTGTGGGAAGGCTCTGGCGCTTTACTTTCCAGTGCATTTCATTCTTGCAGGTGCGGTGTGTTTTCTGGCACCGCTGTGATGTCTGTGGCATCTTAGATTTGCGTGTGTGTGTGTGTGTGTGTGTGTGTGTGTGTGTGTATGTGCGCGCGTGCACGAGCATGTAGCTTCTTTCCTGTATTCCTTAGTTGTTTGTGTATCTTATGGAGTATCTGCCAAAATCAACTGCCTGTATTTTACTAGATTGTATATCTTAATATTATTTAGTTACAAGTTTTTCATATATTCTGGGTGCAAGTCCTTCGTTAGATATATGTTGTAAATATTCTCTTCCACCCTCTGACTTTCTTACATTCTTAAGTATGTCTGTCAATAAACAAAATTTTAATTTACTAAAAGTCAAATTTATCAGTTTTGTATTTTACAACTTGTACATTTTATATCTTATTAAATTGCTATTTTAGCATTGACTTTTATGTTACCTCTTTTACATGTATGTCGGCTTTTGTTCATTTCAGCCAAGCCGTGCTAGTGGACAGGACTGTTTACATTTCTGGACAGGTGGGCTTGGATCCTTCCAGTGGACAGCTTGTGCCAGGAGGGGTAGTAGAAGAAACCAAACAGGTGAGTCACCTCACATTAGAGGCTTCTTCTCCAGCACCATGTCTGCCTGCATGCCACCATGCTCCTGCCCTGATGATAATGGATTGGACCTCTGGAACTGTAATCCAGCCCCAATTAAATGTTTTCCTTTATAAGAGTTGCCATGGTCGTGATATTTCTTCACAACAATAGAAGCCCTAACTAAGACACCCAGTCCCTAGTACCAACACTCCAACAAGGCCACACCTCCCATAGTGCCAGTCCCTATAAGAAATTTGGGTTTTATTTTATGTGTATGGGTGTTTTGTCTACATGTCTGTCTGTGTGCCATGTGTGTGCCCCGTGCTTACATAGGCCAAAAGAGGGCCTCCAAATTGGAGTCACAGATAATTGGAAAATGTCATGTGGGTTCTGAGAATTGAACCTGCGTCCTCTGAAAGAGCAACCAGTGCTCTTAACCACTGAGCCATCTCTCTAGCCCCATGTACAAAACTTGAAATTATGGCTGGTTCTGAGGAGAAAGGGATGAGAGAGACCTTTTCCCCTGTATGTGGGGTTTTAAAAATAGATTTTAAATTGTTTACTTTATCCATATATTAAGGGACTGGAGAGGTGGTTTGGGGTTGAAAAGCAGCCTGTTCCTCTCGCAGAGGACCCAGGTTTGGTCTGTAGCACCCACACAGATTGTCACAGTCGCTGGTGATTCCAGCTCCCAGGGAATCTGACACCTCTGGTGTATGTGCATCTGTATACACATGTGTGGACCCACACAGAACACAGAAACACACATGCACACAAATGATTAAAAATAAAGCTAAAAAAATAAACACACAGACAAATATTATATTGTTACCACCTAAATGGGGAGGAAGAATATATTGAAAAGAGTAAGTTGAGGCTAGCATTTAAAAACTATGGTTTTTCCAGAGACCTCAGTGTCAACAAAGAATATATAACTCATGAATAAGGGTTTGATTATTTGAGGTTTATTTTGAGTCTGGGAGAGAGGGGTTGTTTTGGTTTTGAGACAGAGTCTCCTGTAGCCTAGGCTGACCTGTAGCCATAGGTGACCTTGAACTCCTCATCTTCCTGCCTTAACCTCCCAAGTGTAGCATCCATTCCAGTATTCCTACAGAATAATACAGCCTTCTCCGTACATTCCAGAAAGATTCAGTCCACGCAAGGAAACCAACACATAACTGACTATGTGGAGACACCAATTATATGATTGTATGTATTAGTATAGTGTGTGTGTGTGTGTGTGTGTGTGTGTGTGTGTGTGATTATATAACATTGGCACCTGACCTTTCTGGCTTGATTTGCAGGCTCTTACAAACTTGGGTGAGATTCTGAAAGCCGCAGGCTGTGACTTCACTAATGGTGAGCAGCTGGGTCTTTCTTCAGTGTCAGTTCCTGGGTTTTGTTGTTGTTTGTGTATCTGCAGTGCCCAGGATCCAACTCAGGGCCTCACGCATGTTGGGCAAGCATTCCACCATTGAGTCATTTGATATCTCCTTGGCCTTTGTGAAGGACGTATGATGCCCAACAACTTGCATCCCATCTTAGTTGCTAAAGATTGTGGTTTTAATGGTGTGGGAGTCTTGTTTTGAGTCTGATGAATTAAAACTCTGTCTTCTAGTGGTAAAGACAACTGTTTTGCTGGCTGACATAAATGACTTTGCCACTGTCAATGAGATCTACAAAATGTGTGAGTAATTTGTCCTTATTCCTGCTTACTTTTAAAGGGAAATAAATCTGCTAATGTAAATGAGTGTCATTGTCAAGTAAAAGTGACAGAGATGTTAAAATGCTATTTTGTCCTGGGCCAGTCCATCTTCTGCTTGGGAGCATACAGTAGGCCTCATGGAAAAGATCTAATGTATTTCTATCACAGTTCCTAGAAATAGAAGTACATAAACCCTGCAAGTTCATTTTCCTAAAGTCTAATTTTATTAGTTTCTTTGGCTTTTTAAACCCTCATACAGCCCTATTGCTATTGCTAGGATAATATCTTTGTTCTGGCTCTCTCAGAATCAGTAGGGAGTTACTTAACATTCCCATACTTTGGTCTCTTTGTATGTACAGAGAGGACAGTCGTCCGCTACCTTAGGAGGCTGTTGGGATGATTAAATGAATTGCCCTATAAAGCACTTAGAACAGATGCTGGCACTGAGCAGATGCTACCGCTGCTGTCGTTGCCATGGTGGGGGAAGCGGGTCCCTGTCTCCTGGCGAGATGAAATAAAGGTGTGGGGAAAGTATCCTTATTCTCAGCAGAAGAAATGACCAGAGAAGGCCAAAGTTAGAAGGAGAGTCCTCACTGAAGATAAGAAGCCATTCCCTATTTTGATAACTGTCCCATGGGTATCATTTTTAGGCCCAAACCGTTCTCATCATTATAAAACCAAAATGCCTGATTATGTCTTTTATTGTTTTATAAAATATTTAGGAAAGCACTAAATGTCATAAAGTCATGTGGCAGAATATCTTATCAGACAATCTAAATTGAGCTTTTCTGAGGTGTCATTTGTGTCTGGGAAACGGCCGGACCGTGAGGCAGTTCCCGGACTCTCTCTGCTCCTACTGAGACTAACCTGGTGTTGTTCTACATTCAGATTTCAAGAGCAACCTTCCTGCCAGGGCTGCATACCAGGTCGCCGCTTTGCCCAGAGTAAGTACGCCATAAGATGGTCGGCCAGCGCGCATGGGCACGGAAACCCATCGTCCGAAAACACACCCAAAAATAGTACAGTCCCGTTTCTCAGAAACACAAAGTCTAAAGGCAAAACTCTGATACTGCTATGTACCTAGAAAAAAAAAAAAACAACCAAGAAATCTTATAAAGCAACACATGGGCATGACCTAATCCAGAGATTTAAATTATGAGAAAAACCTTAAGAGCAACAGTTTTGTGATGTTACTTAGGGAATGAGATTTGTGTTGAGGGTTTAGTTCTGTAGTACAAGCCTTCCCCCAGGAGGAGTGGTGGGTTGCTGGGCCCCTCCTGTGTGTCACCCTGCAGTCTGACTTCCTGCCAGTCCTCTACCTCCCGTAAGAACTTCTTCAAATGGAACCCAGTGTAGAATCAGTGGAGACCTCAGAACAGCCTTATACTGGAGGAAGCTCTATATGCCAGCAGGGTGTTTTAACACTCTTACTAGTTTCTACTTATTTTAGAGTATTGGCCAGAGAATTTGGGTATTGGTACTATTATGTATCCTCATTAAAAAAAAAAAAAAAATTCACCTGGCTCTCATTGAATAAAGAGAGTCGAGACTTTCACTGGAATGATGCTCTCTGACCCAGTGGCACACAGTGCCATCATTATGGTTTTGGTGTCCCCTCACTAGGACCTCTTTTCCTGTGTCCTGCCCAGGCTGCACACCTACAGCCCAGAGGCAGGTCCTGCTCACTTCCTGTAACTTGCCAGTAAAGACCTGGGGTCACTTTACAGTGTCCTTTGCTGTTTTAATTAGTTACTGTTAATTAGTTACTGGAAAAGGTCACTGGGTGTAGAGCTTGGAATCAAAAGACATGGGTTTGGTCATCCGCTGTTTATCTTTGCAACTCGGCACAGCTTGACCAGTCTTTCTGAGGCCAGTGCCTCGTTTCACGACGAGGGCCGCTGCAGGTATCAGATGAGCTAACTGACCTGCGGCAGGGTCTTAGTGGATTTTTTTCTATTCTTTGCTTTCTGTGAAGAGACGAACGGTAAAAAATGCTGTGTTGCCAGATGGGCAGTAGTGGCGCATGCCTTTAATCCCAGCACTCTGGAGACAGAGGCAGAGGCAGGTGGATCTCTGTGAGCTCCAGGCTTGCCTGGTCTACAAGAGCGAGTTCCAAGGCAGGCTCCAAAACTGCAGAGAAACCTTGTCTCAAAAAAAAAAAAAAGAAAAGAAAAGAAAAACAAACAAACAAACAAAAGCTGTGTTGCCATTAGTGGCATCTGTTTTTAGAAGGTATTATTGAGCCTTAATTTGTATCAAATGATGGAGACAGTGACCTTTTTGTTTTCTTTCCAGGGAAGTCGAATTGAAATCGAAGCAGTTGCTGTCCTGGGGCCGTTCAGCTCAGCATGACTATAAGTGGCCATGCTGACGCTGACTCTGGATCTTTTTAAAATGTCTTTCACGCCTTAATTTTTACAAATGATGCTGGGAAGTATAAACGTGACCAAAGTGGCTGAGGTCATCGAGGAAACAACCTCACACACGGAGAAATGAATTGGAGATAACTAGGTACACTGGCTGATTTTCTAAGTGTACTTACACACACTCACACTGCTGAGTGAGAGAAGGGCTCAGCACAGCTACTCACGTGAGTGGCAGGAAAGGGAAGGTGAGCTGTTGTTCATGACAAATAGTAAGAGCACAGCTAATTAATTAAATTATTAATTTCTCATGTGAAATATTTAGTCCTCATGTTAGATATAGGGAACTAAATCAAAATAGTTAAACCTGAACAGTACAGGAGAATAAAGTAAACCAAAATCTTACACGGATAATATTTTTCTAATGGAAATAAAAATAGATGTGTAATTTTACCCAGTGTGGTGTTTTTGACACTTTAATTATACATTTAAAAATACTGCCTAGGTGGCTTTCTGGTCTTCCTTTCCCGTCTCCTGGGTTGGGGGGATGGCAGGGAAGCCATCCAGGAGCGTTTGTATCCATTAAACCTGGTTTTTTTTTCTAATTCGGGGAAAAAAAAAAAACCTGCCTAATGCCAGGCATGGTTCACATACCTTTAATCCCAGCATTCAAGAGGTAGAGGCAGGCAACTTTCTATGAGTTCAAGGCCAGCCTGATCTACAAAGCAAGTTCCAGGACAGCCAGGGCTACACGGAGAAACCCTGTCTCAGGAAAAAAAAAAAAAAAAAAAAAAGTTAAACGCACTACAAGATACCTAAAAACATCTGTTCACAGCAGATGGGTGTTTTGATTGCTTCCAAATCTGTGAGCTACATTGAGCTCTTACTATATAAAGTCCAAATGGAAAAGAATACCATAGGTATGGACTGTGGTTGATCCCAGGAGTCAGCCACACACTTCTATCTGGTGGTCCTCCCAAGTAGTTAACACTTCCAGTCAAGAGTTTTCAAGGTCTGGCCTGGGTATTTCCTAGATTTGAGGCTAGCAAAATAATTGATTGCCTACTGTAGAGAGCATTTATTCACCATTTCCTTCCCCATTAGGTACAGAATATAATAAAGTTATCTTTTCTTAAGATTTATTTTTATTTGTATGAGTGTTGCACATGTGTGTGTGTAATACATACATGCCTGGTGCCTGTCATTTTCCACGGCACATGGAAAATGTGGAGCCTTTCATTGTGAAAAATGCCAAACCTTGCAGGAGAACCCCAGCAGCTCTATCACAAGACAGAAATATTAGGTGTAGTTCATCCTGTGTTCTGGGGGTATTCATTCTTATCCCATCATTATAACTAAGTAACTCTGTTATCATGAGTTCCTTAAATTTTACTAATTTCTCTCTAGCTCCCCTACAACTAAAACTTTCCTTTTAGGGTCTCATTTTTATCCTGAATGGACTCATGACCACAAGGAAGAAAATCACCTTCACATTCTGAAACGATCTTACAGTTTTTATTGGTAATGACTATTGTCACTTTGAATGCATAATTATCCTAGTACCTAAAAAAAAAAAATCTGTCTAGCTTAGCAGTCTTATGGCAAAACACAATCAAAAACAGCATTTATTTTCCTGGTTTCTACAGTCAGTCTACAGTCACGGAAATATGGCGTCTGCCCCCACAGCCTCAATTTTCCTGCCGTTTTCTACAACAAGCTATGTACAGTAGCCCTTCCGTCACTGTCCCCTGCCGGCTCCAGGTCCGCAGCTTCTCCTGTTTCCTGTTCTTTGACTTCAGCTTCTTCACTTCCTTTCTCGTGCTTCATCTCTGCTTCCATCTTTTCTCCAGTCTCGCCTAGAAAAGGCAGCGAAAGGAGACAGTAAGAGACTCTTGCCTAGCAGTGTGTCCTGGCTGGTTTCATGTCCCCTTGACACAGGCTAGAGCCATCTGAGAGGAGGGAGCCTCTAATGAGAAATGCCCCCATAAGATCCTTCCGTAAGGCATTTTCTTAACTCATGATTGATGTGGGAGAGCCCAACCCATTGTGGGTGGTGCTATCCCTAGGCTGGTAGTCCTAGGTTCTATAAGAAATTAGACTGAGCGAGTCATGGGGAGCAAGCCAGTAAGCAGCTCCCCTCTATGGTCTCTGCTTCAGCTCCTGCCTCCAGGTTCCAGTCTGAATTCCTTCAGTGATGGATGACAATGACAAACAAACCCTTTCCTCCCCAAAGGAGGACTTGCTTTTGGTCATGATGCCTTATGACAGCCATAGTAACCCTGACTAAGGCCCACCGAAAGCACAGTAGGTTTCTTCCATGCTGTCCTGCCAGCATTCCCCTCATTCCCCAGAGCCTCTGCGGGCACAAGGTCACGCCACTGAACATCCCGGGGTCTCGGCCTGCTTGTAAAGCCAGGATGAAAAATTCCCTAGGAAACGTTTTGTTCAGGGATAAAAGATTGCTCGGTGGGTAAGACGTACGTTCCTGCTACACAAGTGTGAGGACATAAGTTCAAATCCTCAGTGCCTACATAAGAAGCTGGGCACAACAGAGCTCATTTGTAATGCAGTGAAGACAGGCAGATGCCTGGAGCTCATGAGCCAGACAGTCATCACTTAGGGCTAACTAAGTATCCATGAGCTACAGATTGAGAGATTCTGCCTCACACAGAAGGTAGGGGAGGGAAAACTGCTGAGGAAGACCCTGATACCCACCTCTGGCCTGCACACGTGTGCACACCTACACATACCCACATGGACATGGACATCCAGGCTGAGATACTAGTTATAAGATAAATGTTTAGAATTTTGACATAGCCTATGCTTTAGAAATGATTTGCTGGGGGCTAGTGGGTGATGGCTCACGCCTTTAATCCCAACACTTGGGAGGCAGAGGCAGCTGGATCTCTGTGAGTTCAAGACTGGCCTGGTCTACAAGAGGTAGTTCCAGGACAGCTAGGACTGTTACACAGAGAAACCCTGTCTTGAAAAAAAAAGGAAGGAAGGAAGGAAGGAAGGAAGGAAGGAAGGAAGGAAAGAAAGAAAGAAAGAAAGAAAGAAAGAAAGAAAGAAAGAAAGAAAGAAAGAGAAAAGCGATTTGCTGGGAGCTGAACTGAGTCTTGAGAGAATGTGTTTCCCAAATGTGGTGACATGAACCTCGACCACCTCTGGCCCCAGAGCTGGACTCCATCCCCTTGGAGCCTGTCTAAGCAGTCGGGCTTCCCTCCTTTTACCTTCAATGTGTTGCTCCTCTTTATTGGTATGAATTTCTCTGGCCGTGTCCCCATTTGCTGCTGTCTCTGCAGCTCCTGCCAGCTTCTCCCTGCTTCCAATGCTTGCTTCGGATTGGGATCCCTGGGTGTTTCTGGTCCCATCAGGAGTTTCACAGAGTGACTCATTCATTACAGGAGTTTGCACAAGCTGGCTTCCGCCTGGCACTTGTGGTGTTTCATTCTCTTTGAGGATTCTTTCCAGAAGTTGGGGCTGCTCATCTTTGCGCCCTGCTTCCTGAGGTTGCTGCTCCTCACTGCTTTCTGCAGACTGCCCCCCTTCTGCTACTTCAGGAGAGTTGTTCTCTTTGGGAATTGCTTCTAGAACCTGGAACTGTTTATCCTTCGAGGTCTCTTGATTGTCCTTCGAGGTCTCTTGAAGTTCCTTTTGTTCAGCTTTTTCCACAAACTGATACCCTTCCGACCTTTCTGGAGAGCTGTTCTCTTTGGGAATTGCTTCTACAGTCTCGGGCTGCGCATCCTTTCCCATTGCTTCTTCAGGTGGCAGTTCCTTAGCCGTTTCCAGAGGAAGAGCGTTCTCCGCCGTTTCTAGAAGTTTCGTCACTCCGGCAGCTTGTGGAATCTCAGTGTCCTCCACTGCTCCCGGGGAGTCCCTCTCTCCTGGTGTGTTCAGAGGCTGGCTCCCGGCTTCTGTTCCTAGAGGTTCAGTCTCAGCGTTTCCTTTTAAAGACTGGGCCTCTGTCCTTGCTTCTACATCCTTCTTCATTTCCTCTGCCCCCAACGTATCATCGTTGCCTCCTGGCTGAGGTAGATCAGATTCTTCCCCTTGAACTAGAGGCTCGATCTTCTTTGTGGGTCCTGACGGGTCTGCGGCATCCTTTCCAGGGGCCTCATCATTTGCCGGGGATGGTTGGTGGCAGGCTTTAACACCATTGGCTGCGGCATCTTTTCCAGAGGCCTCATCATTTGCCGGGGATGGTTGGTGGCAGGCTTTAACACCATTGGCTGTAGGAACCACTGAAGCCTTAGGCCGCTCTAACAGGACCTGGCCAGGCCTTTGCGCACTGCCGTAGAAGGCAGCTTCTCTCCCTGGCGTGCACGGCATGGGTTGGGCCACGCAGAACTTGCTTTGTTCTCCAGTGGATGAATTCTCATTTGAAGGTACTTTTTTTGGAGCATTTAGTTGTAAAAATAAGTAGGAAAGAAAGAACAGAGTTATTATTTAGCTATCTTGAGAACGTTTATTGACAACTAAATCAAGTAGATTTAGTTGTTCAATCAAACCACGACCCTCACTCCAAATCAAAGGCCTTTAATAACGTCAACCTAAACGCCTCACCTTACCCATCAGTGTCCTCTGACCCAGCTTTCTCCTGAGCATCCCACCAAGGCTTCTGTCCCAGATTCTAACTTACCACAACTACCTTGCTTCTCTTTTACTCACCCTTTCTCCTCTTTAGCTTCCCCTGTGTGGTCCTCGGGCTGTTAGATTCAGAGTGGTGATGTGGGAATCCCCTCTGTATGCTGTGAATACCATTGGTTAATAAAGAAACTGGTTTGGCTTGGTAGGGTAGATGGGTGGGGAAAACTAAGCTGAATGCTGGGAGAAAGGAGGTGGAGTCAGAGAGAAGCCATGTAGCCCAGCCAGAGACAGACACTGGAACTTTAGTCGGTAAGCCACAGCCACGTGGTGATACACAAATTAATAGAAATGGGTTAAATTAAGGTGTAAAAGTTAGCCAATAAGAAGCTAGAGCTAATGGGCCAAGCAGTGATTTAATTAATACAGTCTCTGTGTGGTTATTTCAGGGCTGAGCAGTCAGGAATTAAACAAGCGGCCTCTTTACAACAGAGTGGGCCTCGATGAAAAGAAAGGCTGTACACCAGAGAAACTCCTACAGGTGAAGACTAGTACCCTGAGTATAGGGACATCCACACCTGAGTTTCATGTCGTGTTAGGGGGACGGGGAAAAGTGAAATTCAGAACGTTGGGGAGCACGTGGTCCACTTAGAGCTGCTCCAGCTCCTCCTGCATCTGCACAGCCTTGGGGGCAGAGCTCTCGGGGCTGACGTGTGACGTGGACAGAGCCGTGAGGACACAGCTCTCAGGACTGACGTGTGACGTTGGCACAGCCTTGGGGGCAGAGCTCTCGGGGCTGACATGTGACGTGAACACAGCCTTGGGGACAGAGATCTCAGGGCTGACATGTGAGTGTGACGTGGACACAGCCTTGGGGGCAGAGATCTCAGGGCTGACGTGTGACATGGACACAGCCTTGGGGGCAGAGCTCTCGGGGCCTGTCAGACATGTAACATGGCAGTGGGTGACCCTCCATCTGAGACTCCTGTGAGGCATCCCAGCACACTAAGCAATGACTGTGAGTGCTTGGGACAGTTTAGAGCAAACAACTGGACGACATGTTTGTACTCCTACTAGATGACCTAGTACCCCCACTACTGAAAAGTCTTTAGAAAGTGATGCAGGGGGTCACCCAAATGCTCTTTGTAACAGCAGAAGCTGGAAAGCAATTTAAACGTCTAAAAATATGTTCCACTGGGTGAGATACTACCCCACGAGAGAATATGAATGTGGAGACCTTGTGACAGAGCCTGTAAGTGTGAACAAAAGATCAGCGTGCATGCTGGGTTGATCGAACAAGGGGGAGCAAATGGCGGATATCAGAACGAGGTCTGTTGTGTAGTGGACAGCCCACAAAGTCAGGTTTCGGTGTTACAGGTGATCACAACTTAGTTAAAAGGAAGGAAAGGATGGACAAAGAGAAGGAAGAGAAGACAAACCAATCGCAAAGGAAGGGGAGCTGGAAGAAAATCACCCTAGCGTCACAGTGGGTCTGCAGGTGATAGTCTCTCCTTGCTGCGACCAGTCCCAAAAGGTGTCTTCCTTACTTTCCTGTTCTTTCCCTAGCCTGGCTACAAACACGCATAATCTAAAGACTGTGCCCTGACCCTCGGTCCCTCTTCTGGTTCTCCCTTCTCTGGGGCAAATATTTTCAATCTTTCAGCTGTTTGGGAGGATAGTCTTTGTTGCTGTTGTTGTTGTTGATGGAGACTGGCCTCCTACATAGGCTTCACCTCCTAATGCTGGAACCGTAAGTGTGCCCACCACACCCTACTGAAAGAACGGTTTTCTTTAGGTACCTACATGAATTGTACTTTAGAATGTTTTGACTTGGGGCATTTCCGTTAACTCCTACTGTGGAAGAACAGGACCTTGCAGCTCATTTTTCTAACCTAACTCCCACCATCATCCCACCCTGTCCCATTACACATTCATATCTCCTTTCAGGTCAGTGACCGTGCACTAAGAATCCCCTAAAATCATGACTCTCTCATAATTTAGAGAACACAAAATGTGAGCCATGTTTTCAATCTGACTTCAGCAGACACTGTAATGAGCATGGTTTCTAACAAAAAAAAAATTTTTTTTTCAATTAAACACGTGATACTTAAAGGCAAAATCTGAACAGACATGAGAACCACAGACTCCGCCCTCAGATATCCGAGTCCTGTGAGACACGGCAACAGCCACGTAAACACAGAAGAAGGAGATCTGGCAATCACCGGACCATGTGGAACAGCTTCTTTAGAGTGCCCAAGAATGCCAAGGTCTGGAGGCTTCAGGGCAGCCGAGCTGGAGGCCAGACTGGAGTGAGGTCACGGAGGTGTCTGTAGGTGGCGCCCATGAGCTTAGAGTGAAGCTTGAAGAACAAGAACAGTGACCAGGGCTTATTAAAGAGTTGACTGAGTATGGGGAGTGGCAGATAGCGCAGAAGTACTGCCTGGGTCCAGAATACATGAGACCCTGGGTTCGGTTCTCAGCGCCTAAGTTAACACACACACACACGAGACCCTGGGTTCAGTTCTCAGCACCTAAGTTAACACACACACACACATGAGACCCTGGGT